CTGGGGCTACACCCAGAAAAGAAAAAGCTATAAATAGCACAGGCAGAGCCAGGGCAGCGCGTGTGTGTGTGTGTGTGTGGAGGGGATATCAAGTTATAAATTTTCGGTAAAAACGTATAAATCAGTGGGTGGCAGAGGGGAGAGAGCAAAGAGGAATTGGCAGATGGGAGACAGTGGCTGCTCCTATCCATTGCCTCTGCGGTCGCTTAAGCTTAGCTCAACAACTGACTTGGCACTTGCTTGGTCACACAGCAAGTAGCAAGGGAACTTTTAGGCAAAATAGAATGTGACTAGGGTGCGGGGGGTGATGGCGCACAGAAAGTTCGCGCTGTTGCTATTTTTGGACAGCCAGCCATGCCAGAGAGAGAGAGAGAGAGCGAAACGCAGAAGTTTCGCGAAGCGCCGCCTACGCAGAAAGCTTCGCGTGCATAGCTTTTGCGTCGCGTGGGCGTCGCTGTCGCAGTCGCTGCCAACGCAACAGGAGCGCCAGGCAACAGCAGCAGCAGCAGCTGGCGAAGCAACAGTGAAAGCTTTGGGAGCTTTCACCACTTCCCCAGGCCAGGCGCAACTTCCAAGCTGGAGCACTGGAAAAGTCTTCGGCACATGGTCGGCTGCGTGCGTGGGCTTCGTGGGGAGCCTCGGTGCTGCTGTCGCTGCCTTTGTCGCTGCCGCTGCGTGTACTGTCTGTTGCTACCTGATGCTCGGATGCGATTCGACTTTTGGTTTTCAGTTCAACCTGGGGAGCGCAGCGGAGTGAACGCTGGGCCGAGTGTTGAGCGGTTAAATAAGAAAAGTGCCTGAAAATCCCAGCTAGTGTTCTGCGCCAGCTACTTCATTGCCAGCTGCGGACCAGAGCGTCGAGTCTGCCCCAACGACTCTGGTGTGTGCCCGTGCCTGTGCCTGCTACTGCTCCCATCCTGATAAGCAGCCCGTCGACAGCCCCGTGTAAGCCTAACATATGGCCAGCCAGCATCGATGCCAGCCCTCGGCACTTCATATGGTGAGTGGGGGGGAAACAAGTAACCAAAAAGTAACCAAAAAGTAAAGGGGCAAAAATATTAAAGGCAAAAGTTTTGCAACTAAATATATGCAAATATTTTCTCGAGTGCTGGCCCTGAGAGCGTGTGCACATACTTTTTCAGTTAAGTGTTGAAGCACACAGCGCTGGGCAGGGCAGGGCAGGGCTGCAGCGAAATAACGGTGATCTGCGATGACAGCTGCGCTGCAAAGTAGGCAACTGTACTTCAGGCAGACGCGATTCGACTCAATTATAAAATGTAAATGAATGTCCCTCCCCCCTTCGCTTCGATTCGATGACAATTGCTGCACGGAAAATTGTACAAAATTAATATGAAATTGCGCAGCCAAATGAATGCTAATTTGATTGGAAACTATGCAAAACAGAACGCCAGTTAATGAACAGACACAATAAATACTTGTGACAAGCTGAAAATGAATTATCAGCTAGATACGCGCTCCGACTGATGGATACAGATACGACTGTAGGCAGACAATACGCAAATTTATGTACACGCCGACAGGCAGGAGTGGGTGTGTGCTGAAAGGCAAAGTGCAACAGTATCCGGTATCCACAGCACACCTTTTGGCCTGTTATTTTCACTGCGCAATTTCGAAAATTGATTCCCACTCCCGCACAATCAGGAGTCCCGCACTAACATCATTATCAGTCTGTGGCCTTCGTTGCAGGAGTCCCAACAAAATGCCAGCTTCATTATCCCTGGCTCTTGGCTGCTGCTGGCTGCATTTATTAAGGAGCAACTGAATAAAATATGGCAGAGAGAGAGAGAGAGAGGGAGAGTGAGTGGTGCATGCAGCGCTGGTAATTTGTTGCAAGGAACTGGGCAGAGGGGCACGTAAGCAGCTTTGGCAGTTTGCAATTTCCTGAAAATTCCATGCACACTCCTGTTCAATGAATTCCTTCTAAGAAAATATTTCTCTTCATCGATTCTCGCATCGTACAACAGGAGGCTTATCGCAATTAAGCAAAATACAGATCTGTATTTGCATTTCCAGGAATAAGCCCCGAATGGAATTTCCATTTAAATTCCAATTATAATATGGAAATCCAACTCGGAAACAACTATTAAGATTATAATTCTGTTTTTATGTGTGCAAAATATGAATAGAAATGTCTGATAAATGTATCCAAATTGTGCGCAAAATAATTGCTTAAAAGCACACAAACCAAAGAGAAGCATTGAGAGAATTGTAATAAAAATATTTTAAAGTTCAACGGAGACTTCTATTGATTCAAAGCAAGGCAAAGCAAAGCATTCACAAGTGCAGAACGTCTTTTCCGACTCAAATCCAAAAGGGTTCCACTTGCAACTAAAATGATTAAGAATACTCTTGAGAGTTGTGTTCTCCCGCCCTTAGTTGAATAATTATGCGCTGATGCTGAGTAACGCGACCAAATTGTGGAATTACGCCACAGGCTGCCACTTTTGATAATTGTTCCTGCCACACACACAGCTGGAGCCAGGCAGCACTCCATTTTGAGTCCCACTTTTCGGCCCACTTTCTGGCGAGTTATCTAATTGCTTTGCCCATTGTGTGCGTGTGTGTGTGTGTGTGCGGAAATCCTCCTTTCATGCTGTGTTTAGGTTCCTCCCAGAAAAAGAAAAGGGAATTATGAATTGTGTGCGGTGTATTTTGTAGTCCTAGATGGGTTGAATGGCTGCACATTGTGTAGGAAACGGAAACGGAAACGGAAAAGGAGTCCGGCATAAAAGCGATTTGTTGTGCTTTAAGGATAAGCAACCCACACGCCCCTGCTGCTGCCACTGTGCATCAATTACACAAAAGAAACTGAGCGAAACTTGAGCCCTAAATCAACTGCCACCTGCCAGAGCCACTGCTACTCCTAAACGCGCCTTTGGAGCTCGATATTCACAATAACAGAACCCCCTCTGAAGAGCTCTAAAGTGCAGGCAAACACACCTGCCAAGGCCTCGCCACTCGAGAACCCACTCGCAAAAGCACTCGCAACCAAAGGCAGAGGCAGCAGAGCGAGATTCCGCATTTAACCCGCCCGACAGATGGAAATGGATACGGGAAAAGTCAGCCTGCCACATCATCGGCGTCATGAGAGAGAGAGAGAGAGAGAGAGAGGCAGAATGGAGCTCCTAATGTGATGAACTCTGCCCTAGGGGGCGGGGCAGTCCATCGAAGCAGAAGCCAAAGCCAAAGCCAAAAACCAAACAGGAAGTCAAGACCGAGACCGAGAGACCGAGAGACCCCAAGCCAAGGCAGGTTTTCATGCTCAAACGCACAGCGGACCGACAGCCTCACTCGCAGGGACAATGGCAAATCTTTGCAGATTTTGGTCAAGAAATGCGCAACGAAATGCGAAATCCAAAATCAACTTGAAAGTGAATACGAAAGAGCAACTTCTGTAGGCCACAAAGCGAATGTAAAGTTTTTTAACACACAGGCCACAGGCCACAGGGGGAGGCAACGGACAGAGGCAGAGTCCTAGAGCTGTGGCAGAAAGTTGCCAAAATCCCGCAAAGAAAATTCAATAAGGCAGCGAGAAATTTGGGGAGCAGCATGACTGTACTTCTGGGCTTGAAAAATTCAGCTCCAACTCCAAAAGCAAGCACTTTGGGGGAATGTTTTTGGACTGGTAACAAATTACACTGCCCACGGACTGCGCTTACTGTCCACTGATTCGTATTTCAGCGGTGTCTTCAATGCCGCTGATTAAAGGCGGCCCAAACTTAATCAATTTCCGGGCTCCCACTTTTCCTTGAGCCACCCACGACGCTGCCCCAGCCGACACGCGCGAGCATTTTCCAGTCATCCACTATGAACCCAAGAAGGAACACAAACTTTTCACTTTTTCCGTTGAAAATTCTTTGCGCACAAAGCAGAAAGAAGGAAGCAACCAAAGAAGTGGAGCAGTGGAGCAGTGGAGCAACGGAGCGGCGCACGTGCCCCAAACACGGTCTGCTGAATACCCACAATGCAAAACTAAATCCTTTTTTACGGCTGCTGACGACAGCTGCAAATTAAATAAAATTAAGCCGAAAGTTAGAGCCCCAGCCAGCTATTTATTAAGTGGCTTTTTGGCGAATTGTCTGCGGCAGGGCGTGGGCGAAGACATTTTAATTGAATGAAGCCCCAGACCAGGCAGCAGCCGGAGTGTGCCAGGTGCAGCATTACCCACAAAGTAAAAATGCAATCATCGTCATCGTCAAAGAAACAGCTGAAGTTAAGTGAAGAGTAAACTAAACTGCAGCGTCAGGCGGTACAAAGGAGAGAAAAGCGATTAACTTGCCACACAAAAAAGGGCAAAGGAAGGAAAAGAGGGAAACAAAATGTCAGTAAAGCGATGGCAAGGTGCAAGGTGAAAAATGGCAACAGTGTTGGCCAGCAAACCCTTAAAGGTTTGGCTAAAATGTTCAATTCAAATTTGATTTCAATCTGTTTTGCCTGCCACCCAATATTCCCCACTAATTATGCAATTTTCTTGAACCACAAAAAAAACGCCACAAACTGCGTTCCACTGCAGCCCATGCCCGAGCACATTCTGCACTGCTTTCTGCGTTGGGTAGCTTCTGGCTGCTGCTGTTGTTTAAGAACAGAAAAGTTAATAATGCAAAGCGAAGACGGTCGAAATATATTTACCAGTCTGCTCGGACCTTAACCATAAAGTGGGTGATGTGAACGCTTGTAAAGTAATAAAAGTGCTTCTAGTTAGTGTCATACGACCATAAAACGATTGCTGCTATTTGGTGGTGTTTACCAACACTGTTGTTCATTTGAACAAGTGTAACATGCCGTCGGCACATTCGACCCCAGCGGGCAATGAGGAATGGGACTCTGACTAAGAGGCGTCTGGTGGGCAGCAGGAGCACCCAATCTCAGTCCATACCCTCAGCAAATTCCTTTGAATCTATGCGAAAGAGCGAGCTCCGAAATGCGCCACTGGCTACCAGTGGCCAATGTCCAAGAGTCCAAAGAGTCCAAGAGTAAAGTCTACTACAATACGAACAATTTGCTTTTTTATTTGCTTAAAAAGTGCTTTTGCCTGCGCTCAAGCGACGGAGACAGTCAGTGCCATGATGGCATTCACCACATCGTTGTCGTTCTCCAGCAGCGCGTTGATGGCCTTCTTGCGGGAGCAATTGGACTGCATCTGGACCAGTTCGATGTCCTCGTTGGTCAGTTCGCTGGCAGCTGCCTCGTCGATCTCCGGATCATCCTTTTCGTCTTCAGCAGCTTGGGCCATGGCCAGAGCCTCCGCCTCGGCCTCCTCCTGCTCCGACTGATCTGGAGCGACGTCGTTGTGGATAAAGCGTTCGGCGGCTTGAGCGGCGGCCGTGCTGGCAATGTCGTCGACTTTGACCTCGCCAAAGCACACATACGTCTCGCCCACCTTGTACACATCGGGCTGATCCATAAACAGCAGAATGTTCTTCTTCTTGCGCATGGCCACGCGATTGACATTCGGCACGGGCTGCAGGTCGAGCTTGGCCAGCAGGCGACGTGCCTTCTTCTCGCCACGCGACTGCTTATAAGCAGCGGCGGCTGCTGCCCCCTCGCCATCATCCGAATCATCCGAATCACCCGAAGCATGTCCATTCTGCAGTTTTAGGGCAGCGGCAGCTTCAGTGGCAGCGGCCGCGGCAGCGAGCGCAGCAGCGGCCTTGGCCTTCTTGTTCCTTTGCTTCTTTCCCATCTTGCCTTTCACTTTGCTGCAAATTATTTCCTATCCGCGTGGATCAGTCGCCGAACAGAAAAGAACAATCTGTTTCCGGAACTTTGACAGGCCGCTGCCAGGGCTGTCGAGTGTCTCGCTAGGGTTGTTCGACACTGAACTGTAGCGGAGAATGTTTTAGAAAATGAATTTAAGCAAGGGCTAGCTACTGCCAATCAAGCAATAAATATTTAGATTCATTTTAGCAGCCAAATAATTGCAAATTATTATAATTATTGCTTGCTCAGCTGTTCCGTTCAGGGCTGCAGTAAAACCGCGCAAAGTGCTCAAAAAGCGCAACAAATAATTTGTCAATTTATCACACAAATCCTGCGATGTGTACACACTGGCGGCTTGTTTACATTTTTGTGAGTGGCTTTAAAATCTTTCTTAAAGTTTACTTGATAAACTCGGTGCAACAAATGAATACAACTCTTGCGTTAGCCAATTTCAAATGGAAATTGACGACTGAAAAATGCTTAGTGCGGACGTGCCAAGCGCCCAAAAATATATTTCCAGCTGCAGCCTGCACCTCCCCTGGGTGCCTGGTTGGTCGAACTCGCGGCCTGTCGCCGCGGGTGGCGGAAAAGCGAAGTGGAAGTGGCCAAGGAGCTGCGGTTTAATGTCGCGAGTCAAGCGGTGCCCCGGGGGGGAGCCTGTGCAAGAAATGTAAGGCACCATTTGAATTGCAGCCTGCTGCGGTTTACGGCAAAGACAAAGGCGTGCACACGTCTGCATTGGATACCGAAGAGCCTGCCAGTTAACTATATTTAACGGAAGGAGCATTGCCACATCCTATTAGCGGCACTTGTTGCAAGAGCCTTGCACATCCGATTCGCATGTCTTGCCCCCGAGATGCTCGTGGCTTAACCCCTCGCTGATGCGTTTTTAATTGCTCGGTTCTTTTAATTAAACAAGAGACAGCCACCATGTCCTTGCTGCCCTTGTGCAATAATTAAACTTTATCTTCGGGTCAGACGGCTAATTGAGTTGCATAAATTATGTAATGGGGGCGCAGCTAAGTGACTGCCTTTCACCTTAATTGAATTGAAGAGGACGGCTAATCGGATATTCTGCTTTTTGCTCACTCATAAATTCCAGTCCACAAACATTACGAATGGAGTTCGCTCTTTCGCTTTTAACTTTTGGGTCGATTCGATTTCGATTCGATTTCGAATCGATTGCGGGTGGCGGACCGAAGGTTGGGGCAAAACTTTGTTTGGCTTGGCTGGCACGTTCGTCCCATGATTAATTATTCCCGCTCCATATGCTGCAGTGTCATCTGGGGCCGCCGTTTAGCTTTGTAGTTTAGTTTTTCCTTTTTGTTTTCCTTGAGACGCGACGGCCTGCGCATGAAAAATGAACCCAAGCCCACTGGCTGGCAGGCTGGCAGGCAGGCCGAGCATGAAGGAGTAGAAACAGTCGCAAGGAGCAGCAGGCACCAAGGAGACATCACCGCACAGAGTCTGACTGGGCCCTGGGTCTCGGCCTGCCTGGAGACGTCTCTGTCAAGGCAATAAAGTCCATTAGAGCAGCCGCTCAGTGTTGGTGTTGGGTGTTGGAGTGAGGCCAAGAATCTGTAACGCATTAATCATGCAAGTTTCGAGAAATGATTGAAATCATATTATGCACAAAGAGATGGGCCATGTCCCAGGCCATGTTTCACTGGATGCGGCCACATAAAAAGATGTTTCTGTAATTGAGATGTTCGCCAAGACATTTATAATGTACTTAAGAACCACACAAACATACGTGGGTACATATGTATTGTGTACATGTGTGTCTGTACACATGCCGCTGCTTGTAACGGTTGTGGGAAGTTTGTCTTTGGTTGCTGTTTAAGTTTCCGTTCAGGCAAAAGCCAAAGTGAACTATTTGTTTTGTTTGTGTAGCCTTTTGTAAACGAAAGTAAAACTTTAAAGTAGGAAACTACTGTAAGATTTTCCATAAGAGAAGATTCTGGTGAGCGCGTGTGCATTTATGTAGTTACGATTAGCCCAGAAGAGAACGCAGGAGAGAGTCATTGCTGGAGAGCAATAGAAGGAGAGCGGAAAAAATGAGAGCTGTAGAAGAAGAGCGTCAGAGCTGACTGCGCTGCTGAGCCACGCACAAAAACAAATTGTAGAGCGCGAGAGCACAGCTTAGGCGCTGCAAGTGCAACAACAACTGGGAGAAGGTGGGTGGGATAGAGAGACGAAAAAACGGCCGCTGGCGTGCGTAAGCTTGAGCAGGTAGCAATTGGCATGTACAGTGGGGACAATGCAAATAGTGAACGACAATGATGATTCACGTTAGACTTAATATAGTTATGAGAAACCCAAAACCATAAAATAACTAAATATGTTCATCAAAGTGTCACTTAACGAAGTGCTTTTGTTGGTATTCATTATGTAAGAAAGAACCTTCTAGTCGGGATTTAGTGTCGTGAAACCTTTGCACACATGTCTTTCACCATCCTTGTTTGTATTTACAATGTACACCAGTTGACAGGTTATTTCGTTTGGTTTGTTTTCGTGAGAATATTGCTTTCGTCTCGGTCCATAATTTGACGGTTCTTTTTCGGCTTGGGCTTAATCTGCCACAGCTCTGAGGCCCTGCTGTTGATGAGCTGGAGTCCCATTTTGGGGGCGGTTTTGGGGTTGTTCGGAGCGAAATGAATGTCGGACCCCCATCTGAAATATGTCAACCTTGAGCGTTGGGAGGGGACTGAAGCGCTTATCGCCAAATGACCCAGACGACGACAAGCGAGCCTTGTTACATCGAGCGCCACCCAAGCGAATCCGCACCAAAACCACCTGCCTCACCGCAAAACCCATTGAAGCGGCAAAGAAAATCAATTTCCTTTGCCTCCGGCTTCTTGTGGGGTAGAGTCTCGGGGCAAGCTGAAGTCTGACATTTATTACCATATAAGGAGCCAGAGAGCAGGAGCATTCGCAGGAGCAGGGACACACACAAAAGACTTACAAACTAAAAAAATAAGAAGGAAAACTGCAGCGCGACAAATGTGCGCAAACAACAATGCCCCACCAAGGAATTGTTCCACCCACCCAACACCCAGCCACCACCCAAAAACATTTTCTTTCCGTTTTAAGGTGCTCCGGCATTGTGCATATTGTGTGAAAATATGAAATATGGAAATGCCGGAAAGCGAAAAGTTGTCCCTGGCACAATAAAACGCAATTTCCCTCAAGAGCCAGAAGACGGGGCGAGGCAAGCTGCGAATATACATTGCTAATTTCCGTTAACAACATGAAGGAGTAGCGCAACCAAATACCATTGTGTCTGTGTGTGTGTGTGTGTAGTGGATTCCACTCTGCTGTTATTCCACACCCAGAAGAGCTACAGCAACAAGCAACAAGCGGGAGAGCACAAAGCGAGGGAGCGCTAAGTGGGAGAGCAGCCAGCGGGAGAGCGAGGTTTTATTAGTGCAAAATATTTGCATGCAATTTGGGAATTTGTGTGAGGTAATATGAGTACGAAAGTGGGGTGAAGAGAAATTATGGCCTACAAATTGGAGCGACATCAGAAAGTGCGCCGTCCACTGTGGATGAATTCATCGCTCACACACATGCACGGCCAGCGAAGTTTTGCTGTTCTATTTGCACGGGTGAGGTGTAAGCGTCCTCTCTGCTCTCAGAGAGACAAGCGCTAGCAAGAGAGAGCGCGCTTTGCTTGTTGTTGTAAACGGGATGGTTCCCGAAGCAAGAGAGCTGATGAGGTGAAGATAAGTAAATGCAACGGTACCATAGGCACACCGCAGCATAGTTTCCGTTATTGATTTCTTACCTTACTCTCTTCTTGTCTCTTTCAGGTGTGCCGATTATCATGGCAAGCAATGTAAAACAACAACAGCAAGATCAATGCACAACCAGTGAAGCGCCGAAGCTACAGCGAGTACGATCAGTAGTCGAGGGTCGACAGTGCGGACCCGTGGGATGCCAAGATTGGCCTAAACAGCAACAAAAAGAACAGGAGACGCCGCTCCAGGTGCAGCCACAACGACAGCCGCCGCGCCAGCACGAGCTACTGCATCATCCGCGCAAGCCGCACCCGGCACTCACCGCTCGTGGCCGCCTGCTAGTCAGTGAGGGCGCACGCCGGCGGGAGGTGCGGGGCTGTGGCCGAGCTGGTGCCGAGGGTGGAGTCGTAGTTGGCGGCGGCGGCGGTGGCCTGTTGTGCTGCAGCCTGGCCGCACTGAAGCGGCCGGCCAAGCTGCTGCAATTCGGCTTTCTGCTACTGATCCTACTGCTCGCCAGCCATGGAGATTTTGTCCAAGCGGAGGGCAATGTTGGTAAGTGTTAGCCCACCTCCCTGTCCCTTGGCAGCTATTTCCCACACACGTAACGTGTTGTATTCACTTTTTGCTCCGTGCCTTTGCCTGTGTGTGTTGCGGCAAAAACATTTGCAAGTTTAATTAAAACTTTGGACGCACACAACAAACACGCAACACCCACAGGCTCCTGCTCCGCCTGTGCAACCAGATTGTCCATGTATCCGTCCATGTGCGCTGCAAAAATGTGTTTTACTCGTTTATCCATGCATAGCCCATGCATAATCCAATTGGTGCTCGTACCGCCAGGGAAAACGGACCTACCATCACTCCTGCTTCCTTTTGTGCCTCGGCCCGGAAATGGACTCTACGGCCGGAACTGAGCCAGAAGCCAACTAAACGAGTTACAGTTGCCAAACGAAATTATGAATGTGCAACAGGCCCAGCAGAGGCTCCAGCCCCTCCTTTGAGCCAATTATGGCTCAGGGTCCAGCTCTCAGGTACAGTCCGTAGTTGGTCTGCGAATGTCTGGCAACTAATTGATTGGGACATCGATTTGTATGTCCATTGAATTGTGCAAATTGCCTAGTAGAGGGTCTCTAAGGCACGTTGATTGATGGAGCATTGTAGTGATGAAAACTTATACAAGAGTGTTACTTTTAGTGATGTTAATAAGTCGAATTCCACAGCAAGTGTAAAACTTGATCGAAACTCTTATATTTTCTGATCCGCTGTTTGCGATACAAAATAATTCAATTGTGCTCTTCCAGCTGTGAGACACAACTTTGCTGGTTTTACTCAC